AGGCCAAGCAAAGATCATCTCTTGTTTGATATCAATATCTACCACATTCCAGTCTTAATACAAAGCAGGCTTCATTTACTAGAATTTGCTTGTTCAACAAAAGTATGATTATTAGCAGTGGCTGGCAGTGGTGGCAATAAAGAAAGGTCAAAAACCCAACTCACACAAAGAATAAAAGAAAAGCAAAAGCCAGAAGAAAATACACATTTGTAATATAGTTCACAGTGTCTAAATATAAAATGCCTCATGGGGACTGAACATGAGGTTGTTTGTTCATCTGTATCAAATGATAGGAACTATTATATGTGTAAATATCAGTTATTCATTTATTCAGTTAATCAGTTACTCCACAACATTTGTTATAAGACATTTTACTGGGTTGGATGGAATATAAAATATGTTTAAGACCCAGTCCCAGCCATCTTAGATGCTCTATTTGCTTTAGCCAGTAGGAAACATGAAGCAAGTATACAAATAATTCAGTATAACAGTGTATGATTAGTCGAGTGCTTTAGCCTGAAGAACTGCTACTCACAGTGTGGTCTGCAGACCAAGACCAGTCTGGAAAAGTATTACTTGGTTATGATGAGCAAGGTACAGAATTTCAGAAGTAATATATAGAAACTTTGATAGCATTTGGCATTGCTGCAACATTCCATATAATCAGTGGTCTTAAATGATGAATATAATAGTAAAAATTAGGGATTAATATTTTATATGCCTTTTATTTTCTAGTACTTTATTGTAACTTACAGATATATCAGTTTGCTATGGGTTGGGGGGAAAACACTGATATTTCACTAATATTTTTAAAAACACTGCTTTTAAAAATCTTAAAAATTCAAAGGTTAGGAAGAATAGCTCTATTCCAGGGTAAAAGTGAGGGCCTAATGAAGACGCTGGAATTTTGAAGGGGTCTTACAGGATAACTAGGATTTTGAGAGGTGGAGATGGAGTGACAAAATATATTTTAAAAAAGAAAAGTCGCTTAAAGTGTGTTTGGAAAGCAATGGAACAATCACAAAGAAAACTGGGCATGTACGTAAGAGTTTAAGTTTAGAATGAATAGAATTTCTAGAAGGAATCTAAACGTATCCTTTAGCTTTTTAACAGTGAGTTATCTAGGTAGTAGAGTATGATGGAGGCATATAGTTCAGTGGTGTGCAAAATCTGTTGGAAATGTTACCCCTAGAAACCAGAACCCAGTTAGAGAACTATTTTAACAGCATGGAAGTAATCAAAGGGGGCTCCATTCGGCAGCTGGCAGAGAGAATATGGCAACAGTTAATAAATACAAAGCTTCAGGAATACCTAAACTGCCATTTTTATTTAGCAATTGAGCCATAGTAAACATCTACTGCTGTTGCTTAGTTGAGCTAGAGACAAGGGTTAGAATTTTAATGAAGATCAGGTCTTAAGAAAAACAAGGGTTAAAAGTGATCCTGAAGTCCCTATGTGGTGCACCAGGAAGGTTATCAAATTCTTTTAAAAACTAATCTGAAAGGAAGACAAGTCAGCCTCCATTTTAGACATGGTCAAAGTCACACTGATTTGACATACGGCATTAAGAGAAGAGATCAGGATGAAAATACCCATGGTCAACTGCAGAAGTTTCAGTATTCAGGATCTAACATTTCTAAGGGAAAGACCACAGGAGAAAGAAAAATGCTGAGGACAGAATGCCAACTGGAGAGGCAAGAAGGCAAGGACTCATCAACAGGGAGTCCGAAAGGTAGAATGGGAGGGGAACCGGATCAGTAACTAGCATCAGCCACACTTTCTGGGGATTATGAGGCCTCTGGCAGGGATCGTAGAAGGCCATTGGCAAGCTTTGAAGGAGCTGTTTTCTCAGTGTGGCAAGGGCTGAAACTAAGTTGGAGCAGTTTGCAAGATTGAACAGTGAGAAATGATAACCAGGGGTTAGGGGTCAATATTGTTGAAAGGTTATGGAAAATGTGATGGAGAAGGTGGCAGGACTGAGGGAAGGCTGGAGAGTAGGGTGGGAGTGATGAAGCAAGTAAAAGGAAGCTAACTGAGGGAACAGTGTTTGGAAGAAGCAAAAAGGCCAAGACTCAAGGGAATAAGTAGAACCTGGGAAGTGAGGATTAGGAATGTGTCTTCTGAGCAAGAAAGGTCAGATGAGACAGGTGACCTACAACTTGGAAATTCAGAGAAAAGCAGGAATATTGACAATGTTTGTTAAAAGAAAGCTATTTAACAGACTATAGAGGTTAAGGCTCAATTCAGCTGATACCCATCAGACTGCACCTGCTGCACCTGCTAACAGGACACACCCTGATTGGAATTGGGTTAGTGGTTTATAGATAGGGAGGGGACAGTTGAGTAGCTGTCCCTTGCCATATGGACATAAGCAGCAGTTTTTTACTTTGACCAAAACTTACCTGAGTTTAAGAGAACTATTTCCTGTTTTTGTGCTGGTTGCTCAAGCTCTCAGAAAACACAAGAATAGTGTTTTTTCAAAACTGTTCTTGCAAGCCTTGTGGTTTACAAGCTAGTCAATTTTCTGGAGCAGGAGAACCAGACTTTTTTTAAAAAAAGGAAAGGGGGCACAGTTAAAAACCAAAGGAAAAACTAAGGGACCCTCTGACACGCTTGTTTCAGTCCCTTTACATCTTTATTCCTCGTAATTCTTCCTTGTTCTCTCAGCTACCAACTTCATCCTTAATGATTAATGTAAATAAGATCAAGTCAACCTTTCTTTGAATAACCTCTCTTCTCACCTGTCACTTGTCTGTACTGGTCAGGCAGTGCACTGCCTTGGAGGAGCTCTCCTGGAATTACAAAGCCCAGTCGATCTGTTTCTTTCTCTCTCTGCTCTCTCTTTTCAATAACAACAACAATAGCAAATCCCTAGCTTTGTCTAGCTTAGCCACACCCTTATAGCCCTTTCATGAGGATAGCATATCAAAAACAACAAAAATTCATTATCCATTGCCTTTTGCCAAATAAAATAGAGTTTAAAGCCTAGCTTTGCCACTGACAGGTTGTGAGACTTTGGACTACTAAATTAGTTTTTATGAGATTCAGCTCAGATTGAAGATTTCATCTTCAAAGTGAGGAAAATAATACCTTCCTTAAATATATTGCAACTATTAAATTAAGTGAAATAATACCAATAAATTCCTTGTTACCTTGTAGGGAACACTGGAGAAATGATATCCACTCTTATTAGTGTGGGCATATTGCTCATTTTATGCATGTCAGACTCTGCCTGCTGCAGCCCTACCATATATAGCTATAATGTCCTCTGGACACAGGCATATGTCTGTCCAGTATTGAAACCAACTAGAGATAAGACTGGAATGTTACCAGTAGCTTTCTCTTTACTAGCAGGTGGAATCTGGAAAGAACTGACAACTATCTTCATGATATCTTACTACTTGGAGGTGAACAGTCCATAAGAGTTCACCTCTACTCTCTCTCAACATTCCTTTTCCCGAGGACATGGCTACCTGATTCCACTCCTATGTAGACACTGGTCTTCTTCCTCAAACACCTCCTTTTTAATGTGTCTCCCTTTTTCTAGATATGATCCCCTGCTTCCAGTTCCATATGGAAATATTTAACATTGACCACAATGCTAGTGCTGACCTTAGTAGTAGCCCCTCAAGGACAATAAACATTTTTCAGGCATCCACTATGTGCTCAGAACATCCCTTTGTCAAAAGACACCAAGGCTGCCTTTTGAAAAGTTAAGGCCACTCTTAGCCACTCACATACTGTCCTCTAGTCCCTTCCATTATTTCCTGCATTATTTAAACAAAGTTTTGTTTCCTCTGAAGGATTTTGTGGTACATGTGCACACAGACTGATATATGCACATCCCACAAAGCAGTATTCACAAATCAGGATAATCAGTGAGAAGTCCTGCCAATGGAGACACACATCAGCACTCCACTTACTTCCATCCCAGGGGCCTCTAATCAGTATGAATAAGCCCAGATGTGCACAGAAGAAACCTTTTCTGTGAAATAAATACTTGACTCAAGAGCAAGAGTAGCCACACATAAGGTGCTCCTGATGGGAAGGTTGAGACACTAAATCATTGATGCCTGATGGTGTGGAAGCTCAGGTTCAGCAACATGTGCCTCATCTTACTCCTATCCCTTTCTGTCTTTCTTCTCCTGCTATTTACGTGATTGAACCAGAGATTGCAAATTAAACTGGTGGCTCAGATGTTAGCTCCAGCCAGCAGATGGCCAGAAGGTATAATAATGTGTTTTGGATTAGTTGCTAGAAAGAGATTAAACATGAAAATCTGAAATTCTAGATTTCCTCCTCAGTCACTCAACCTACCTAGCCCCAGGATGCATGGTACATGAAACCCTGGTGCTGTATTAGTCTGTGTCTTAAAGACACAGATTCCTATTTAGGCACCCTCTTTAGGAGCACTGGGACTAAAAAACAAAGCCCTTTTCTAGCAACTCTTTTATTGCCAGAGCCTTCATCTGGCTGACAAATCATTGCAAAACATTTATTACAATTCCCCGTTTTCCCCAAGTCCCATAGATCCACCTGGCCCTTTTAGTCAGAGCATGACAAAGAGGGCAGGAAGCAGCCACTTGGGATTTTATAGGAAGCAAGCATGAGAGAGAGCCAGTTCTCCTTGCACCAAACTGCTTCATTAAATAATTCATTTAACGACTTCTGCCAAGACCCTGTTGCTGCTTAATTACTTGCTTGCTTTCTTCTTCTCTCTCTCTTCAACCTCCTTTTTAATTGAAAATCCAAGCCAGGCTTGTCACAGCCTGGGAAGTCAGATTACTTCGAGACATCTTCTGACTCTTTCTCATTAGGTGTCCAGCCACTGAAAAATGTATGACGGTTGGAGAAAAGAATAAAGAAGGAAATAAATGTGAAAAAGTAGCTTTACCAACAATGTCTAATGAAGAAAACAACACTTGGAAACCCAACTCGATTTTCTATTTAACAAGGAAAGCAATAAACCGCAGTCATACAAACGAACTGGGAGCCTAGGAATGATTTCTGGTAAACGAGGGTTGGACTGTTTGGTAGAATCAGTTAATAGGGAAGAAAAACAACAGGGTGTAGACACAGCCGGTAAATCATTGTTGTCTGAAGAGGGTGTGAGACCGAATGGGAATCTAAAATCTGTGCTGTAGGAACAGGAAACAGGGACCCATCTGAGCAATTTAAATCAGAAATAGAAACTCGGTGTTATGGCAGTAGAAAGAAGCTTTGAATTATATTCAAACGTATGGATTTCAGGCTGGGTTCTCAAGATACCTCGTCAGTGAGGATGCCCAGAAGTAGCCAGAACAGATGCACTTTGGATCCCACAGCCCAATATCATGCTTCCCATATAGATTTCCAGAAAGCATTTTCTTCCAAATAAGCTGTTTATTCTAAAAACACTAAAAGAAACATAAAAACATTTGGAATCAAATGCAAACTGCTTGAATATAAATCAATATGGAATCAGGTGGTCTTGTTCTAGATCCCCAATTTTTTTTTTTTTTTTGCATGAAGCCCTACGTATGATTACCCAAGTGACTGCTGTTCTTTCTGTTTTTTGGGGCTCAGCTTCTTTCATTGTAAAACAGAGTTCGGAGCAGTTGGAAGGTGTGCTGGAGACATCTCTCCTGGAGGGCACACAAGGTGTCTAGTTAAGCAGAAGTTCTGGCTTTTCTGGTATCTAGAGGTTATGAGGTTTCAGCTCTCAGATCAACTTTTCTTTTTTACAATGAACAAGAAGTGCAGACTGATGCAATTAACTCAAAGTCCTTCATTTCTGGGCTGAGAACTATGAGATAAAGGATGGAAGCTATCATGAGAGCAGCTTAGCTTTGCTGCTGAGGAAATGAATGATGTAGAGGCCCTCGGAAGAGCCCCCTTTTCCCCCTGTGCAGCACCATCACCCCACCCACCAGGCCCAAAGTTAGTGCTAGGCAATCTAGTCAAAACCCTGACCTCATAATAGTTTGATAAGAATTAATTTCAGAAGCAGCACATGGTGCAGTAAGTGCACATACTTTAAAAATGAAATTGAACAGAATGGCTTAGAATAAAAAGGAGCAATCTCATTCCCAGGCCTTTCTTTGCTTTCCTAGTTTTTTGGGGCAATTTCCACCATAGTGCTAAAGAATACATTTTCTACTTCTTACTCCTGATGTATCAGCTTTAGACATTACTGACTCTGCCAAAAAAAAAAAAAAAAGATAGGGTTTTGATGTATTCACACTATTCTCCAACTCTGCGCTTTCCATTTTTTAACAGTTTTATTATAACTATTCCGTGGGTTTATTTTTGTAAATATGTTTGTCTCTCTTTCTAATGTTAAATAAAATATTTTAATCTATACCCTACGACATCTGCTGTAGACACTATTTCTTGATTCCCTTCTATGTGAGCTGTTACGATTTATACTATTAAAGTAAAACAAAATGGAGGCCGCAGTTTACATATAACATATAACCATGCAATAAAAACTTAAGTCATCCTGATTTCCCCAAAATGCTTGCTCTAATCATAAATGAAACTCAAAATGTAAGCTTTTAAGTTCTGGTCAGCAGGATTCAGGAAAGTTAAGCCATTCAGCCATAAACAGATCCTCCTAAACAGCTCTACTTGCCCTAAAAAGAATGTTAATGTTAAACAATCATGAAAAAGGTTAAAATACTTTCTCCTTTCTGCTCTATAAACTGTGCTGCAACTGCTACAAGCAAAGCTTTCTACACTTGGTTTGAGGCCTCCCAGTTCTCGAATTGTTCTTTTGTATGCACAATAAACTTCTACAGTTTACCAACTTGATCTGATTTTGTTTTTGACAGTGACCTCATCTTCCCTTAAACTTCCCAGCTTTTACCTACCAACTTCTATCGCCTTATATATCAGCTTTAACTGTCAAATATGGTAACAGAAACTGTGTTATAACCATAATTAAGACTTTTGAGCACTGCCCAGAGGTTGAGTCTTAGAATTAAAACTAATAAACAGTGTTTGCATTACTACGTCATGGTTGAGCTAAGAAGCTAAAGCTATTGTTCCATCACTCTGATATTATAATCCTTATACAACCAGAAGGAGAACAGTCTCAGTGTATTCCTCTTTCTCCTACCCATCAATAGACAGAAAACCATGCCACAGCTTCATTTTCTTCATACTCTGACTGTGACCTTCTGTTACTTTTCTGTGTGACTCCTGGTGCCTCTGTCTTTGAATTTCATTCTTTGGGAAAAAAAAAACACATCTTTCATATAATAGCAGGAACATCTTCCTCATATTTGCCAATTGCATTTTTTAGTTGGGATCCATTCCAATCTTAGAAGACAAACTAGTCAAGTTTGTGGGTTTTTTCCTTCTTTTTTTAAATTTGTATAAGTGTAAGCGGTACAAGTGCAGTTTTGTTACATGGATATACTGCATAGTGGTAAAGTCTGAACTTTTAGTGTAGCCATCACCTAAATAATGTTTCCTATTCTAATTTAGAGGAGTGTTGTATAGCTGTATCTTGGGATTTTTGTTCATTGAATTTCTGGCTTAATTCCATAGTTTCTTGCTTCCCATGTCATTCTATGTTTGGGGTGTTTTAGCCTAGGTTTATTGAAGTACATCTTTAAGTAACTTCCTTAAAAATGGTTCTGGGATGTAAACTCTGAGACTTTGCTGCATTTAAAAATGTCTCACGCTTAATTGCCAGAACAGCTGGAAAGGGAATTTGAGGTTCAGAATTATTTTTTCCTGTAACTTCTAATGCATAGTTTCATTATCTTGTGACATCTGGAATTACTAAGAAAAAAAATCTAAAACTTGTATGATCTTTTTTCTGAGTATAGCTTTGTAGGTATCAGCTTCCTCTTGTTTTACTTTTAAGATCTACACAATTTTATTAACCTCATGTATTAGTCCATTTTCATGCTGCTGATAAAGACATACCCAAGACTGGGCAATTTACAAAAGAAAGAGGTTGAAGTGGACTTACAGTTCCACGTGGCTGGAGAAGCCTCACAACCATGACAGAAGGCAAGGAAGAGCAAGTCACATCTTACATGGATTGCAGCAGGCAAAGAGAGAGCTTGTGTAGGGGAACTCCTCTGTATAAAACCATCAGATCTTAGGAGAGTTACTCACTATCATAAGAACATGGGAAAGGCTTGCCCCATGATTCGATTACTTTCCACTGGGTCCCTCCCACAACACATGGGAACTCAAGATGAGATTTGGGTGGGGACACAGACAAACCATATCACCTCCCTATCTCAGTGAGAGTTTTCATTTTAGTGTCATGATTTTCCTTAGCTCCAAGAATGTTATACCTATTATTGCTTGGATAATTCCCTCCTTTTCAATTCCTCTTCCAGGAAATTCTATTAATCAAAAGTTGAACCTCTTAGACTGACACTCCATAGCAGCAATGTCCAATAGAAATATAAGCTATAAATGCGAGCTCCATATGTAACTAAATTTTCTTGTGGCCACATCAAAAAATATAAAAAGAAAGGGGTAAGAATAATTGTAATCAATTTCATATAGCTTTTTAAATATATTAATATATTCAAAATACTATTTCCATATTTAATCAACAAAAATATTGAGATATTTTACATTTTTAATTTGTATTACCTTCAAAATCTGGGGTATATTTAATAATTACAGCACATTTTACTGCAGACTAACAACATTTTAATTGTTCAATGGCCATATGTGGCTAATGGCTCCCATATTTGACAGTGCAGATCTATAGCATGTATGTCTTCTTCCATATTTCTTTGTCTTTTTTCTCTATGTTATGGCACAGTACCCAAAGTTTATCTTTAATTCTCATATTAAATGTTTTATTTCTGTAATCACTTGGAATTTCTCTGAACTTTTTTGTTCTCTTATTACTTTTAGTTGAAAAATATAATGTAGGCCATTTAGTTCTTGTTTAATAAATTCAGTATCTTCTCACATCTGTGCACACTCATTGCTGATTTTATTGTTTTGCTCTGTGTTAGGTTTCTTCTGTTCCAGTTATTTCTCTTCTGGCATCAGTTTTTATATTTGTTTACTTTGACCTTCATACTCCTGCTGATCTTTGTATGTTTATACCTAAAAGTAAGGGATTCAGCAGTTGGTTAATCCAGGCAGGAGATGTGGGTCTTTTCTACTCAGCACATACACATGGGCAGGGAGCTGGCTCTCAGGCTAAGTAACAAGGGGGAAATCATGGCCATTGGCAACCTTACTTCCGCACAGGGATTTCGGTTTGTTCAGGAATGGGTCCTATGATTTTTAACTAGTACAAAATGGTAGACTACCTAACTCTGTATGCTACATATAGAGGATATGTGTTGAGGTTGAGAGAGGCACTAACTCACAGCGTTTTCAAATTTGCACTTTCTGTTAACTCCACTTTATCCCCTACTTCTCACTCTGCTCCTGTCCATTTTGAGCCCCAGAATCTTTTTCCACACGAATAACTTTGGCTCTATTTATCAATATGTTTCCTAGAAAAGCCTAAGATGGAGATTTTAATGCAAGTGACTTATTAGGAAAGTGGTCTCTGGAGAAAGAAAGTGAAGATGGCAAGATTAGGACAGGAGAAGGCGCTAAATAGCTAAATACGCTGTGGTCTCAGCTGGAGCCTGGCTTCAACCTGACACCCTGGGGAACAGAGGAACAGGAATGGCCTGGGGTAGTGGTGAGACTTTAACACATTCACAGCAGCTGGTAGAAAGACATAGCTTTGGTTAAATTGATCTGGAAGGGTCACCAACAGCTTCTACTGCATGAGATTATTTTTTTAAGTACTTTTCTGTTATTTTAATGCATTTGAAGGAGCAAGGATAGATATATGTGTTCAGAGTGCCATCTTAAGCCAATAGTCCCTTGGTAACATTTTGGAAAGGTTTGTTCTTTCTGCAAAGAAAGAAAAGTGCTTGAATAGTGTGTTGAAAACTTATTCAGAGAAACAAATGTAAATTTCAGAATATCCCAGTTCTTCTAGGAAATAAAGTGATGGCAGTGAAGAATCAACAAACGTGTTGCCTACTTACTGTAATGTTTGTCCTTTTCCATTATGTGGTGCCACTTAATCTCACACTACAATCTTTATTCTTAACCAATGAGCAAACTGAGACTCTATAATAGTGTCTTTGTAGAGATTTTGTAGTATATAATAGAATTGAAGAGGGGCCTAACTCTTTATTCTTTAACCTAATTGCTACCATACCATCAGTCTCTCTGAAATGGGCAACTGCACCTTGATTTAGTAGCAAGTAGAAATGGACAACTGCACCTTGATTTAGTTGTGTATGCTGAAATTCTGATAGAGGAGATGCTGTTTCTCTCACCAAATAATTGTACATCTCCATGATTCCCTCTTATTTTAAAAAGAAAGCAAAGAATCTTCATCCCATATCACATGCTAAGCACTTACATATAGTCTTTCATTTAATTCTCTCAACAACCTTGTGAATTACTCATTTTTGTTACAACACTTCAAATTCTGAAAGACTAAGTGGCATGCCTAAAGTAAAACAGGTAGTAAATATTGGAGCTAGAATTTAAATACCAACCTTTGTAATCCGAAACTCACACTTTTTTTATTAATGATCAAGTAGGCACTAATTTAGGAGTTTGAAAATGGCCGTTGGTTGGTACCATTCTTTCTGAAACTATTCCAATCAATAGAAAAAGAGGGAATCCTCCCTAACTCATTTTATGAGGCCAACATCATCCTGATATCAAAGCCTGGAAGAGACACAACCAAAAAAGAGAATTTTAAACCAATATCCCTGATGAACATCGATGCAAAAATCCTCAGTAAAATACTGGCAAACCGAATCCAGCAGCACATCAAAAAGCTTATCCACCATGATCAAGTGGGCTTCATCCCTGGGATGCAAGCGTGGTTCAATATACGCAAATCAATAAATGTAATCCAGCATATAAACAGAACCAAAGACAAAAACCACATGATTATCTCAATAGATGCAGAAAAGGCCTTTGACAAAATTCAACAGCCTTTCATGCTAAAAACTCTCAACAAATTCGGTACTGATGGAACATATCTCAAAATAATAAGAGCTATTCATGACAAACCCATAGCCAATATCATACTGAATGGGCAAAAACTGGAAGCATTCCTCTTAAAATCGGGCACAAGACAGGGATGCCCTCTCTCACCACTCCTATTCAACATAGTATTGGAAGTTCTGACCAGGGCAATCAGGCAAGAGAAAGAAATAAAGGGTATTCAGTTAGGAAAAGAGGAATTCAAATTGTCCCTGTTTGCAGATGACATGACTGCATATTTAGAAAACCCCATTGTCTCAGCCCAAAATCTCCTTAAGCTGATAAGCAACTTCAGCAAAGTCTCAGGATACAAAATCAATGTGCGAAAATCACAAGCATTCTTATACACCAATAACAGACAAGCAGAGGGCCAAATAATGAGTGAACTCCCATTCACAATTGCTTCAAAGAGAATAAAATACCTAGGAATCCAACTTATAAGGGATGTGAAGGACCTCTTCAAGGAGAACTACAAACCATTGCTCAATGAAATAAAAGAGGACACAAACAAATGGAAGAACATTCCATGCTCATGGATAGGAAGAATCAATATCGTGAAAATGGTCATACTGCCCAAGGTGATTTATAGATTCAATGCCATCCCCATTAAGCCACCAATGACTTTCTTCACGGAATTGGAAAAAACTGCTTTAAAGTTCATATGGAACCAAAAAAGAGCCCGCATTGCCAAGACAATCCTAAGCAAAAAGAACAAAGCTGGAGGCATCACGCTACCTGACTTCAAACTATACTACAAGGCTACAGTAACCAAAACAGCATGGTACTAGTACCAAAACAAAGATACAGACCAATGGAACAGAACAGAGCCCTCAGAAATATTACCACACATCTACAACCATCTGATCTTTGACAAACCTGACAAAAACAAGAAATGGGGAAATGATTCCCTATTTAATAAATGGTGCTGGGAAAACTGGCTAGCCATAAGTAGAAAGCTGAAACTGGATTCCTTCCTTACACCTTATACAAACATTAATTCAAGATGAATTAGAGACTTAAATGTTAAACCTAAAACCATAAAAACCCTAGAAGAAAACCTAGGATCTAATTAAACTAAAGAGTTTCTGCACAGCAAAAGAAACTACCATCAGAGTGAACAGGCAACCTACAGAATGGGAGAAAATTTTTTCAATGTACTCATCTTACAAAGGGCTAATATCCAGAATCTGCAAAGAACTCAAACAGATTTACAAGAAAAAAACAAACAACCCCATTAAAAAGCAGGCAAAGGGCCGGGCGCGGTGGCTCAAGCCTGTAATCCCAGCACTTTGGGAGGCCGAGATGGGCGGATCACGAGGTCAGGAGATCGAGACCATCCTGGCTGACACGGTGAAACCCCGTCTCTACTAAAAAATACAAAAAACTAGCCGGGCGAGGTGGCGGGCGCCTGTAGTCCCAGCTACTCAGGAGGCTGAGGCAGGAGAATGGCGTGATCCCGGGAGGCAGAGCTTGCAGTGAGCCGAGATCTGGCCACTGCACTCCAGCCCGGGCGGCAGAGCGAGACTCCGTCTCAAAAAAAAAAAAAAGCAGGCAAAGGATATGAACAGACACTTCTCAAAAGAAGACATTTATGCAGCCAACAGACACATGAAAAAATGCTCATCCTCACTGGCCATCAGAGAAATGCAAATCGAAACCACAATGAGATACCATCTCACACCAGTTAGAATGGTGATCATTAAAAAGTCAGGAAACAACAGGTGCTGGAGAGGATATGGAGAAATAGGAACACTTTTACACTGTTGGTGGGACTGTACACTAGTTCAACCATTGTGGAAGACAGTGTGGCGATTCCTCAAGGATCTAGAACTAGAAATACCATTTTACCCAGCAATCCCATTACTGGGTATATACCCAAAGGATTATAAATCATGCTGCTATAAAGACACATGCACACGTATGTTTATTGTGGCACTACTCACAATAGCAAAGACTTGGAACCAACCCAAATGTCCATCAATGACAGACTGGATTAAGAAAATGTGGCACATATACACCATGGAATACTATGCAGCCATAAAAAAGGATGAGTTCATGTCCTTTGTAGGGACATAGATGCAGCTGGAAACCACCATTCTCAGCAAACTATTGCAAGGACAGAAAACCAAACACCACATGTTCTCACTCATAGATGGGAACTGAACAATGAGAACAATTGGACACAGGAAGGGGAACATCACACACTGGGGCCTATTGTGGAGTCGGGAGACGGGGGAGGGATAGCATTAGGAGATACACCTAATGTAAATGACGAGTTAATGGGTGCAGCACACCAACATGGACATGTATACATATGTAACAAACCTGCACGTTGTGCACATGTGCCCTAGAAGATAAAGTATAATTTAAAAAAATAAAAATAGGCATTTCCAAAGCTTGGAGGGGAGGGCGGGGTGTCGTTCCCTTTAGCTGATGCAAGAGCCTAGTGAGGTGGTGGGAGAGGTATCGGCAGGAACAGCTTTGCTGCCGGGGCCTGGGGCTGACCCGTCTGACTTCCCATCCATGCTGAGCCCACTCGAGCCACAGCCATGTCTGGGGACAAGAGACGGAGTTTTACCATGTTAGCCAGTATGGTCTTGATGTCCTGACCTCGTGATCCGCCCGCCTTGGCCTCCCAAAGTACTGGGATTACAGGCGTGAGCCACCGCGCCCGACCTCCTGCAATTTCTACTCTATCAGGTGTCTGCCCTATGATTTTTTATCTTACTATGAGCAAGAAGAAAAAGAAGAAGAAACCTTTTATGTTAGATGAGGAAGGGGATACCCAAACAGAGGAAACCCAGCCTTCAGAAACAAAAGAAGTGGAGCCAGAGCCAACTGAGGACAAAGATTTGGAAGCTGATGAAGAGGACACTAGGAAAAAAGATGCTTCTGATGATCTAGATGACTTGAACTTCTTTAATCAAAAGAAAAAGAAGAAAAAAACTAAAAAGGTATTTGATATTGATGAAGCTGAAGAAGGTGTAAAGGATCTTAAGATTGAAAGTGATGTTCAAGAACCAACTGAACCAGAGGATGACCTTGACATTATGCTTGGCAATAACAAGAAGAAAAAGGAGAATGTTAAGTTCCCAGATAAGGATGAAATATTAGAGAAAGATGAAGCTCTAGAAGATGAAGACAGCAAAAAAGATGATGGTATCTCATTCAGTAATCAGACAGGCCCTACTTGGGCAGGCTCAGAAAGAGACTACACATAGGAGGAGCTGCTGAATCGAGTGTTCAACATGATGAGAGAAAAGAATCCAGATATGGTTGCTGGGAAGAAAAGGAAATTTGTCATGAAACCTCCACAGGTTGTCCATGTAGGAACCAAGAAAACTTCTTTTGTCAACTTTACAGATATCTGTAAACTATTACATCGTCAGCCCAAACATCTCCTTGCATTTTTGTTGGCTGAATTGGGTACAAGTGGTTCTATAGATGGTAATAACCAACTTGTAATCAAAGGAAGATTCCAACAGAAACAGAAAATGTCTTGAGAAGATATATCAAGGAATATGTCACTTGTCACACATGCCGATCACTGGACAGAATCCTACAGTAGGACACGCGACTCTATTTCCTACAGTGCGAAACTTGTCATTCTAGATGTTCTATTGCCAGTATCAAAACCAGCTTCCAGGCTGCCACGGGCAAGCGAGCACAGCTCCGTGCCATAGCTAACTAATTTGCTAATCACTGATTTTGCAAAGCATGTTGTGGAGATGTGGCTGGACAGGTTTGCCATCAGAGTGGATATACCATTGTATTAAAAACAAGATAAAAAAGCTGCCAAGATTTTTGGCGAGTGGTTGGTTGGTCTGAAGTCCTTGCAAGACGCTGATGTTCAAGCTGTTGACATACTCATTGCCTACTTTAACACCTGTCAGAGAAATGTCATATGGGGTAAGGAGGTGCTTTTTAAAAATCATTCATAGACTTCTCTAAAATGCAAGATAAATTAAAGTTATTATAACAGTGATTCTTTCAAAAATAAATAAATAAATAAAAATAAGTTAGTATTTTCCACTAAAAAAAAAAAAAAAAGATGGGTTACAAACAGAACCTGTTTCCTAAGGCTGCTGTAAGGATTAAATAAGAAAATTATCTAAATCAGAATTCCTGGCACATCCTAAGTGCTCAATAAATATTAGATACTATAATTATCTTTTATAAAAAAAAAAATGCCCGTAGGTGTTCTTTGGATCTAATTAGGCCCACACAACACCAAATTCAATCAGTTCATTAAATTTGTTTATTTCAAGTTTTAAAATTGACAGAATATGCCCAAACACAACATTATTAAAATCTAAACAGTTTAATCATTCATATTCGCCCTGAGGGTACTGTTCTTGACAGTTAGCTATAGTCTACTAGCAAAACAGTAACAAATTCAACCACCGCCATTCATCTTCCCGGAGACTGACAGTAGGGAGAATAGTAAGATTTTCTATTTATTTTATGCACCCATTTTCTTGCTAGCAAACGCAATTTAGCTACCCCCAAGTCACTTCTTTCAGTGCCAGGTAGATCCAACTATGAAATATTCACATCACATCGATCTCTCATCAACCTTGAGAACATGTCATCGGTAAATGTTAAGAGATTATTTCTAATATCATCTTCTTTGGGGCATATCACAGATAAGATTCACTCTTTCAGGAATTAGGGCGGTAGATGGTTACTCAAACCCTCTCATTAGAACCTTGCTTTCAAATAAATTCAGTGCAAAAAAATGAACAAACAAAAACTTTTACATTTTTCCAGAGCTTAGACTTAAAATCTTGCAGAATGTATCAATAGCTCTTTTCACAAGCCCATGAGGATTTAACCCTCCTTACATTCTTTATGATTAATACATTTACAGGAGGATTAGGTTTCTAAATGGTTTTTAAATCCCAGAGGAAGGTAAGAAACTCATAAAATAAAATAATAATTCCTGGGTTTTAGTAGACCAAAACATTTATTCTAAGGAATGATAGCCAAATGATAAAATAATATCCCTGGGCAAATTTCAGTGATTGCATCAGGAGAGGAGCAAAGAATGGTTCAAATATGTGAATGTGTTAAGTTCAATTTCATCTAATTGAGAGATTACTACTTTTTTTTTTTTTTTTTTGAGACAGAGTCCCACTCTGTCCCCCTGGCTGCAGTGCAGTGCCACTATGTCGGCTCACTGCAACCGCCATCTCCTGGGTTCAAGCCATTCTCCTGCTTCAGCTTCCCACACGCCCGGCTAATTTTTGTATTTTTTAGTAGAGACGGGGTTTTGCCATATTGGTCAGGCTGCTCTCAACCTCCTGATCTCAGGTGATCCACCCGCCTCAGCCTCCCAAAGTGCTGGGATCATAGGCGTGAGCCACCGCGCCTGGCCGAGATTACTACTTTTTGTACCCAGAGAGTCAGCAATTGGTGTGAGCTCCAGTTGAGTTCACTGAGCAGAAGAAGCCATGAAAGGCCATGAAAGGCAAATTATCACTAGAAAAGCCAGAGTAATCACAGAGTACTATTCTTATTAAGCACACATCACTTTCTGTAAGGACTTCTTCTACAGCTATGTTTAATTCATATATTAAAAGTAACGCCTAGCTAACAATAAGAGAAGTGATAACTAAAACTATCGTAATTCCCTGTCTTTGTGTATACAATACTGGGACTGAATGGACATAATTCCCCAACTCTATACTAAATAATACTAGGACCAAGAATAAATAGCTTGCTGGCTTGCTCCAGGAAATACAACACCTGGAGGTTAAGTCTGTTTGCCAATCAATCAGCTAACTCGTCAAAACAGGTTCCTCATCAAGACTTACTTCCAGCCTCTCTTCTCACTATTACCATCAAACTAAAGCTGTTGTGTCATAAACTCGACTCAGCCCTAACCAGTTCCAACCCTGCAAGACCTACCTTAAAGTTACCCCTTTCAGACTTTAAAACCCTATAAATACCCTGCCCTAATTTCCCATGACTCTGTCAAGGCAGTATTTTTTCTTGGTGCAGTAAATCTGATAAATTTACCTGTTTTACCAGGGGTCAATAGTCAACAGTAGTTACAGCCTTGATTGGGAACCTACAGTGTGCCAGGTACCATGCTAGGTGCTTTATATACGTTATTTCTAATCTTAGCAACAACTCCTCAAGTTAATGCTTTTTATAATGCACAAAGAAGAAACTGAGACTCAGGAATGTTGGTAAACTGCCCCAACTATACAAATAAGAAGTGGCAGATACAGAGGTCACCTTGAGTCTGTCTGGCTTCAAAAACTTTTGGTAGCTCACAAATCATTTTAAAAATAAGCACAGAAAGTTACCTCCCCATCTCTTCCTTACCCTAAAATTAATTCCATATGCACCAATGATTAAAATGTAGAAGAATTTGTTATTTCATTCTTCCATTAGATTTTACTTATCTAAAATCATTATTTTATCATTTTAATGGTAACTGCAGATAATGATACATTTTTCACCTATTACAATCTTATTAAATTTAGCACTTTTCAATTTCCCAGGAAAACAAAAAACTACAGAACTCTTCAACTCCATTTACTTCCTTTCATTTTATGCATTATTACTATGGTCATGAATTTTAATTCTTTAAATAGTTTAAGCTACATAAGATATTACTATTATATATGGTCAACATTTATTTTTATTGACCCACAAATGTAATCTTTTCAGTCATCTTTCTTTTCTAAAATTGTGAGCTTCCATCTGGGATAGTTTTCCTTCTGCTTGAAAAAAAAACCTTTAATGTTTTCTTCACTGTCAGGTGAATGATAACATAGTCCCTTAGTTTTTGTGTTTGAACATTGCTTTATTTTGCCTGAAATTTGAAGAAAATTTTCATTTAGTGCAAAATTTAAGGTATCTATAGTCTTTCATCAGTTTGAAGATATCATTCCATTGCCTCATTACTTCTGTAGAGAAGTCAGCAGAAATCCAAGTTGGTCTTAATTTTTCTATTTTGAAAAGAAATCTGTCCTTTTCCTGTGGCTCTTTTAAATATCTTCTCTTTGTTTTGAATTTCCAGAAGTTTTACTATTATGTACCTAGCTTTTGTTTACTTTTTATTTTGCTTTGGGTCCACTGTTATTGTGGCCTGATGTTTTTCTTTGTCATGTGAAAATTCTGACCATTATCTCATTAGTTATTTCTTCTGAACTAGTCTCTCTTCATTCCTTTTAATATTCCAACTGTATATATCATTAGTCTCATATATACTTTTTAATACTAAAATCCTTTTGTTTCTTTGTTCTTAAATATTTTCTTCTGACTTATCTCTCAGTTAACTAGTTTTCTCGTTAGCTGTAAATCTTATATTAAAACCATTAATCGAGTTTGTAATTACCATTATTGTATGTTTTTAGTTCTAGAATGTCCGTTTGATTATTTTTATAGTTTCCAAATTTCTACTGATAAATATCATTTTCATTCTGTAAACATGTTGCTCATAGTTATTTTAAAGTCCACACCTGTTAACTTTATCATGTAAATCACCTTCTAGTTCAGTTTGTTTCCTTTACATTTTCTTGATTTGGGGGGCAATTCTTCACTCCCTGTATACCTTGTTTTCTTGAGTTCTGGAATATATTAAAAATGTGAAGAGAAAATGAGACACTATGAATAGTATCTTCCTCCAAAGAAGATTGCTTTTTTGTTTTGGCAGCTAGGGCAAAGACTGCCTTAATCTAATCAGTGATTGATTTGATTGGTTTCAGGCCTGTGTGGACTAGTCCATGTCAGGCTTATGTTTATTTCTAACATAGATCCGTTTGGAATCACAAGTAATTTTGGAGGGGTGGTACTGGTGTCCTCTGTTCTTGATAGGCCCTGAAACTCTAATTTTCCTACCTTTATCTCTGAGAGACCGTCAAAAACTCTGTTTATCTTACTTTTTTAGCACCCTTATTCAGTATGGACAATCATCTGGAGGGCTGCCATATACTGGGTTTATCTCTTTTGACTTTCAAAAATATTGGTTGCTCTCAGCCTAAGTGTTCCAAGACAACCTACGTAAGCATTTCTATTTAAAAAAGAAAAGAAAAAAAAACTTCCCAACTTTCTCTTTTTTAAAAAAAGTAAATTTGTAAATTTATTCTGGTCTCTTTTTTCTCATAAAATTAAGACCAGGCTTTTAGTAAGTAAAAAAATTGTTAAATATTTTTTAAATTAAAATTCTTAAAGGAGCGGAAAAAATGTCTAAAATAACATCTGTGGAGGGCTGTATCTGTTTCCCAGGGTAAAACAGGAATCTACTAGCAAGTTTTCTTCTCTTCCTAGTAATAATATACACCCAAGCATGATTGTGACAGCAATTTTTGCAGTCTATGCATCCAATCCAAAGAACACATTCATTGATGACAATCCCCTGTCTTTCTCCACCTACTGTCATGTCTTTAAAACTAGCAACCAAGATGAGTTGCAGGTGTAACAATTAATTGCATCAGAGGACAGAAAGAGGAGAATTTTTTTTTTTTTTTTTTTTTTTTTGCTGTTATTTTTCAGAACATTTAGCAAATGGACTGGCTTGCCATCACTTTTGTCCTCTCTCTTTTTTGTTCTATTCTATCCCAGGGGAGATTGAGCAATTTATCTGACTGATAAATTTGAGAAGACTTGACTGTGTATGCTCAGATTTGGTCTGTTCTTTGTCATCTGAAAGTCAGCCTTTTCATGAAAAAACACACATTTTTCTCTTGATCCTCCATGATGTAATTCCCACGTAGAGGCAAGCCCTTGTCAAGTGGTGCATGTGTCTAGGTGGGCAAGTCTGCTTAGTTCTGGGATTTAGTATTAGGAAGACCATTTGTTTTCCATAGTATGCTATATTCTCCAACTTAAACTTTGTCAGAAGCAAATGTGACATTTCAGCCTTCGTATCTCTCACTCTTATTATTCAATTTGTTCAGAACTTGTGAGGGGAAGATAGATGCTATTTATTATACTTGCTTATAAACCTTGATATTAAAGACCACGATTTTGCACATCTGTTC